AGGACGAGGGTGAGGGTGGTAATGAATGGCCTGGAGCGAAGGTCAGGGGCAGGTCCTGGGAGACTGCATGGGACTCCAAGGGCAAGCTTCCACTCCTTCACAACTTTTTCTGGTTGGCTCTGAAATTCTCTCTTCATCCCTGGGGCCTACCTTGCCACTTTCTCAGTCCACACCATGCAGACTTGTCTGGATCTGATGTGAGAAGGCACACATTAAGTGACAGCATCTAGATGCTATTTAAGTGAGTGTCGACTGGAACCACAAGCATGTACTTTCAGAGATTCGCAGTAGCACAACTCCAGTCTAGAGGCGAAGTGAGCTGAAAGAAGCTCTCCAAAAGCAAAAGAGCTTTTCCCCTTCACCCACCCCTCTCCAGATATCGTTTACAACTCTTTAAGGCATTGTTACTGCCACAGTCAAAACATTGTTGTAGAGCTTGCAGTTTGGATTACTAACCTTTTTCTTGGTTGAGTAAAATCTTTCCCATCTCATCTGAAAGTTCACCTTTGCCGTCATGGGAAGTGCGAATCTGACTTCTCATCTCTCATCTTTCTCTGTCTTCCTAAACCTTTAAACTATGTCTTTGGAAGCTTTGGGTTTATTATCTTCTCTCTATCTGTTGTAACTTTACTTCTACTTTTTGCTTCCCAGGAAATTGTCTGTCCCAGAACATTGTTTTTTCCTATAGACCTTGCAGTGCAGCTGTCCTCAACTCCCACATATCTCAAGTGCTTCAGGACCTTGTTGTGGTTTGTACACCATCTTTGCTCCCCATTATTTCTCTTGACCACTCATTGTCCTTCCTTCTTCACAGTCACCAGTTGCTTGGAAGCACGTACTCCCACCCTTACTATCTCCCACACTCCGTGATGCTCCTGGTCTATTACCATTCGTTGCCGAGGGCTTCAGCATGGCATTCAGACCCTCTCTTCTCCACAACTACTGACATGACTCTTGGTCATTTCAAAATATACATAAATAAGTCACTTGGCACAATGCACTCGCAACTCAAGCTCTTTAATTTGGTTGACATTTCCTCTACCTCACCCCAGCTACCCACTCTTATGGGTCTTGTGAGATTTGTCACTTCCAATAACTATACCATGTCCGAAATCTCAAGTCACACAGCTCACTGTTGACTATGTCCTCTGTCCACTGACTTGCCTGTTGTCACCATTTCAGCAGATTTCACATTGCAATGAGATCTCTGCTCAACTGATACTACCAGTTTTTCTCTTCCTCCTCCTGTTTTCTCCCTTTCTTACTGTCCTGTCTAGATTCAAATGCTTACAGTAATATTTTCTTTTGCAAGCACTTTTAATTTTTTCCCTTCTCTTTCATTGAATTTACTTTCGTCTATATATATATATATATATATATATATGTGTGTGTGTTCCTACATATTTATGTTATATTGTATTGTGCACATACACACTTGGATTTAGCTAGGATCAAAGGGTTTTGAGACATCAAACAAAAATGGTGGAAATATAAATCAAATATTAGCTATGAATATGAGAAGAGGAAATGCTTAGGGAAGTGAAAATGAAAACAAGACTTCTCTGAACTTACTTTATAGACTTGTCTTTGGAAACAATTTTTTTATAGTATGGCTAAGAAATTTGGTTAGTCAATGTTTTTCAAAATGATTAGCAGAACACACTTATTAATATATGAAACTCAAAAATTTTCACTAAAAAAAAAATCTTGAGCTGAGCTAAAGATGTAGCTGAGTGGTAGAAGACTTGCCTAGCATACACCAGACACTGGGCTCCATGCCCAGTACTGGAAAAAAAATTCTTGATATGTAAGTAGCTCTGATAATTCTTTGATCAAGTTGAAATACACGTTAGTGTAACTCTGGTCAGGATATTTCTATTCATTTAACTCAAGGAGCATAAATGTCTAAAAGAGAAGTTCTGATATTCATTTTGCCACATTCTCAAGTCCCAGTTTATATTGCAAAGGACGAACTTTGTACTCTACGTTTTTTTGAACAGCTTTATTGAGTTATAATTCATGTACCATATAATTTACACAAAAGGTACAATTTTATAGTATTTAATGTTTACAGAAATGTGAAATTTTCACCATCAAATAGTCTATATTATTTATGTAAAACATTTACAGTACCATTTTTCTTGTTCATGAATGACATAATATAAAAGCTCCTTTAGTGAAGGTCTCTAGGTGGTAAACTCATTCAATTTTTGTTCATCTGAAAATATCTTCAATTTATCTTTATTTTGAAATGACAGCTTTACTGGATTTACAATTCTAATTAATAATTATATTCATGCAGGACTTTTAAGATGATAAAGTTTTTGTCTTCTGTTTTAGCCATTGAGGGGTTGGTTATCTGTATAATTATCATTCCTGACAAATGATGTCTTTTCTTTCTTTTTCAACAGTTCTTTTTCTTGTCTTTGACATCCTGTAGTATTAAAAAATTTTTAACTATGTACTTAGTATAGTACTTAATGTGCACAGAATTTCCTTTTCCTATGTATTTACACCTTTCATCAGTTGTGAAAATTTTTCAGTGATTGTCTCTTCATACATATCCCTTCTGCATTTTGTAGTGTTCTCTCCTTCTGAAGTTAAATAAGACACATGTAGGATCTATTTCCCTTTTCTTTCATATGGCGTGTGTTTTCTCTCTAGGCCGTGCTTCAGATAATGTCTCCAAATCTAGTATATAGTTCTCTAATTCTCTCTGTTCTCATGTCCCAGTCACTCACTGGAATTCCATCTTCAGCCAATTTATATTTTATTCCCAAATGTTGATTTTTTTTCCTCAATTGTTATGGCTCTTTCTTTCTTTCTTTCTTTCTTTTTTTTCTTTTTGGTACAGGGGATCAAACTTGGGTCCTTGTGCTTGCGCAGCAGGCGGCGAAACCACTGAGCTAAATCCCTGGCCCTGTTATGGCTATTTCTGAATAATACTTCTTCGGTGATCATTTTTTTTTTATCAGACCATGTATTTTAAAAACATTGAAACATCTTATGCATCTTTAAAAATATGTTATACTTAATAATTCTAAAAGCTGAGTCTTTGGTGTCCTAAAACTATTGTTAGTCTGCATATTCTGTTTGGGGCCATCTCTGCTTTTGAGCTCTTAAAATTATGGTAACTTCAGAGCATAAATTTCGATGTATTTCTGAAAGTTATTTATTTGCTTATATATTTAATTGCTGATATTCCCTGACAAGACAAAAGCTACCCGAGGTTGGATCTGCGTATTCCTAACATTGTATTTCCAATGTCTTGAATAGGACTTGACATATAGAAATTACTGAACATACATGTTTTCTCTCAACCTTCCTCTCTTCCTACCCAACAGACTTATATTTTGTTATACAATTTCAGGGCTTTTGTTAATCGTAATCTCACAAGCACTGTTCTGCATGCACTTTTAGAACACAGCCACTGCTTCCAGAAAAGTGAAAAATATATGCCAACTATTTTCAGGCCATATTCCTATATATTTTTCTAGTTTATAGCTCTAAGTTGAATGCTTTTAAACATAAGTACTTTAAAAATACTGACTTTTGGATCAATAAAGGCTCAAAATTGCAAGCTGCACCCTTTCTTTCATCTTAGTTAATTGGGCAAATACATTAGATATTCCCTACTTAATCTTGAAACTAATACGGTGTATCTTCTAGAGAGATCTCTTTAGGTCATTAGAGGGTGTTAAAATCCTCAGTATAAATGGAGTAAATACAAAAATACTACCTTTATTAAACGGGACTTTTTAAAGTATAAAAAATAAATACTATACTTGTAAAAAATTAAACATATGTTACGATTAACTAGAATAATTCAGAAACACAGAGAAAATACAATCAAGTTACTAATATATTTTCAAAATTGATTTTTACCCAGAAACTTTTTTATTTTGCTTCTAAGATAAAAGGTTCTTTGTTGAGAAACGGCAGTTTTTTTCAGGCTCATGCTTACCTGGAATAAACTATTGTGAACTATTTCTTCTTCTCAAAGTCTGAGCTTTGCAGGATTGATTTTAAGACTTTTATTAAATACCTATGGCAAGGTAGCAACTGAGGTTTCAAAGATTAAACATGTCTTTTCATTTAGTTGCTAGCACAAAGGGCATTTTATAATAATACCCATATTATAAATAGGCATCGGAACTCATGAAAATCATATCTGAAGATAATAATTCTGAAGATTGTGGAATCACTTAAGAAAGATCTCTATGCCACTAGGAAAATGGCATTAGGAAAATAATTCTATATACATTGTTAATAATCATTGACTTTTAATCTGCCATCAAAATCAACATTTACTTGTAACTGAAGTAGTTTTATAAAAAAAAACTCAACGATCCCAAGGTGGTCACCATAGACTTAGGATTTCTTTCCTTTTCTTTCCTGGGAAAATAAGACCATCTGAAATGCTACTTCTCCACAGCAGCTGTGTATATTCTCTGCAGTTTATTGAGTGAGAGCTATTTCTTTGGGACACTTTTAAGACAAAATATTTCAAGACCCTGGAGAACTTGCAAATTCCATGAGTTTTTAAAAGAGAAGGGAATCTGTGGCTGTATTATCTATGTCAGTGCTTCAGTTCTCTCTCAGCCTCACTTTGGAGCCCCAGCTTCTAAAATTCTCTCTGTCATTTCCCCCTTGTGCTTTATTCACTCTGACAGCTTGGGTCAGGATGTTGGAGATGGATTGAAAGTTTCTCCAACTAACACCAGGTGAGCAATATTTGAAGTAGTTGGAAGAGGACATTATGCATTTCTGAAAATATCAAGACTCAGGAAAGGTGACAGCCTTGGGTAGCAGAGTAGGGTTCAGCTTGTGCTTGGTTTTATGCATAGTGACAGGCATGAGACCCTAGCCAGTATTCAGGAAATGCATGTTGAATGAAAGACTTACTGAATGCAGTTATGATACATTGAAAATAAGATGCAGGTATATCTGGCTACTTTGATGCCAGATAAAAGTAAATCTTTTCTTTTTCTCTGTCAAAGCATCCGAACACTCTTCTAGAATTTTACTCTGAGATGAAATCTTCAATCCAAAAGTCAGAAACTTACTAAAAACATTTGGAAAGTGAAAAAAGGAGCCAGCATACAAAGACTTAAAAAATAAATCAACAGGGTGAGTATCAAATTCTGGCCATACAAATGACTAATGCAATCACTGCAGGATTGAGCCTGGACAATGTCCAGGATGACTTGATTACATTATACTTTATACTTCCCTTACATTCAGATACTTCTCTCTGGACGAGATTCAGTGGTGCTTTCAATTGCGTTTTAGATTCTCTTGAAGGATCAAGTTCTCTTTCTTCATCACACCGAAGCAAATGAATCTTTCATAAGATTTTAGGCTGCCAATAAAACTTAATTTTCCCCTTTCCTTTGGATTAAATGTACTGTGGTCTTTCAGTCTTTCCCTATAAGTCCCTTCCCTTCCCTCCAAGGCAGATAGAAATTTTATACAGGCCTATCACCTTTCCACCAAATGTGCTGGAAGAAATTGTTCAAAGAAAAAGATGCATTAAGAAAAGGACCATTATGGTACCACTATCTGTAGACTGTACTTGATGGTGAACAAAGAAACTGAATTCATAAGCAAAAAGAAAATTTTTTTTGATGTGGCATTTCAGTGGATGCTTCACTCATAATTGCAGGACAGTAAAGGGTTTAATAATTATTGCCATTACTACTTATAATGTCACCCAAACAACCAGTCACTTTAACCTGGTCATCTGGAAAAATCATGGCAGCCTTTTAGCTAATTAGTACTTTGGACTTTTATCTACAATACAAATTAATGTGAATTTATCAACATTCTAGGTTTTAGGGCATGTTATATGCCAACTGCTACATCAGCAATTCTGTTAAAGATTAAAGCTCCTAAGCTTCCTTATTTTTATAGCTCAAATAAAATTGCTTTCCAACTAGTGTTAAATCTCCTTAATGAAAAATTTCTAAGAATTTAAGATGATACAGTAATAATAACAGAAGCAGCTCTTACTTAATGAATGCTTCATAGTGTCAGTCACTAGGTTATTTACATATGTTGTCTCATTTTAAAAAATTACCAGTCCTTAAACTAGATGGGATTTCCATTTTATAAGGGAAAACTCAGGCTTAGCAGGTTTAATTTGTTCAAAGATACTTAGGTAATAAGTAAAAATATGGGGAAACCCAGTATACGACTGATGACGATATCTATCCTTTTGATTCTGTTATTTTGTGTGTGTGTATACATATGTGTGTATGCATGTTTGTGTTATGTGTATAAGGGCTTCCATATACAAACCAATAAATACAATAAAAACTTTTAGTATTGGGTTATTTGTTAGGACCGGTTAAGCTGATTAGTTTCTCATTGGCACCATGTCTGCACCTGGAAGGTGACATCAATTAGTTGATAATGTCAACTAGGATAATGGAGGTCATTACTGGGAACCTTTCCCATCCATATTTGAGAATTTCAGAGAGCCACACATATAATTCACCAACTATATTATGCAATTACATAGAGATGTAATTTTCCCATCCATCTATTATAATTTATTGAACGTTTTCTATATGGTGGGGATTATTTTTGTTTATAAGAACTATTATTTTCCTTTTATTCATGAACAGCCTAGTACCCAAAGAGTTAAGAAGATTGCTTAACAGTGTCCAGTGCTAGGTCTGTCCTCAGACCACCCACACACAGAGCCCATGGTTTAATGCATCCAGAGATGTTGCTTCATGCTGGGGAGTCAGTGGTGACAAATACTAAGCCTCAGGAATATGGAACAGAGACACAGAAGAAGTTCTGTGCTGTAGTTCATGAATACCAATGACTTTTCCAGACCAGAGCTTCAGTGGACAGTAGCAACTCCCAATACATTGTCCTTGCCATGAATTGGATTATTATTAGGGCTTTGAGCTAGTAGAGGTCAGGGTGACAATAAGTACCTATTTTATTCATGCCTTTCAGCTTATCTTGGCTTGAAATATTATGCCTAAATAATTCATGTCAAAACAAGTAGTTGTTGTTAGTGCATGAGTAATACAGAATAGTGATGTTCATTTTGGGAAACTGGTACGTCCATATAACACATCTTAATCATATTTCAAACCTTTTATCCCCCTCTCCCTCCTCCCCCTCCTCCAATACCTTCCCCATTTCCAAGAATCTACTTTCTAGTTTCATATCATCTCTCCTTTCTTTCATTCACTTATTTAGTTATAGTTGAGGTTTCTCATAGAAGAACATGTCATATTTAACTTTCTGACTCACTTATTTTGCTTAACCTGATGATCTTTCAGTTCCTTCCATTTTCCTGCAAATGACATAATTTCATTTTTCTTTATGGCTGCATAGTATCCCACTGGGTATATATGCCAAATTTTCTTTATCTGTTCATCTGTTGAGGGGCTCTAGGATGTTTCCACAGCTTGACTATTGTGAATTGCACTGCTATAAGCATGAGTATGCATGTATCACTATAGTATGCTGTCTTTAATTCTCTTTGAAGTTACCCAGAAGTGTTGCAGCTGGATCAGATGCTATCTATTTTTAGTATTTTGAGGAATCTCCATACTGATTTTCATAGTGACTGTACTCATTTGCATTCCTACCACCAATAGGAGGGTTCCTTTCCCCCTACAGCCTCATCAGCATTCATTGATTTTTGTATTTTTGAAGATATCCATTCTTTTTTTCTTTGGTATCGGGAATCGAACTCAGGACCTTGGGGTTGCGATGCAGGTGTTGGAACCACTGAGCTAAATCCCTGGCCCGATGATAGCCGTTCTGATAGCATCTCAATGTAGTTTTGATTTTAATTTCTCTAATGGCTAAAGTGTTGAACATTTTTTCAAATATACTCATTGGCTGCTTATACTTCTTCTTTTGAAAGTGTCTATTTGAAAGTGTCAGTTTGTTTGCCCATTTTCTTTTCTTTTCTTTTTTTGGTACTGGGGATTGAACTCAGGATCTTGCACTTCCCAGGCAGGTGCAGCACCACTGAGCTAAATCCCCAGCCCTTGTTTGGGATTTTTAAAACAAGCATTTTTAAGCCAGAATACTTAGAGTTAGGGCCAATAAATATCCACTTTACACCGATATTTCTCCAAATCTATTCTTCATATATATGAATTTGGATTAAGAATGCTTGTATAACTGACAAAAAGATGTTTTTGATGATATTTTAAGTAAAATGCTGTCATGAGGTCAAATTATAAACGAGGTAGCAAAACGAAGAAATCTGTGGGCTAAAAGTCAGATTGTACTGTATATCAAGAGACATAGTATATATATGAATAAGATAGATTATTGTTTGCCTGTTTCTTTGCCTGTTTCTTTCTAAACTTACATTATTTCACAAAAGATTTGAAGTAGCTTACAACAAAACTCATACAAATATGTTAAGAACATTAAAAATTTTCAAAAGAAATATTGAATAAATATAAATTAGGAGAGTAAGGCAAAAATCATAGGCAGAATTAAGTACAGAGTTCGAGGTAATTATACCTCTGAGTCAGTTCTTAAATTGCTATGTATGAAAAGGTAAGAACTTACACTCCTGAATTAAACACATCGGGTATCTGCACTGGATAATTTGTCTGGGTAAATGCAGGTTTCACGGTGCATTCCAGCATAATTTTCAGCATATGTGCGTATCGCAACATCGCTCTGAAAAGCACACATTTATTCCTTTATGGATCAAAAGCTCGACAGACAGAAAATCAAGAATTGATGTCATATTCTTAGTTAAAACATCAAGTTATTCTCATTTTTTTTCTCCACAGACAGAATTTTCCACTGGAAACGGTGCTGTGATTGGCCTGGCTCACGTTAGCCCCACGAACTTCATGAGCTACAGCTCACTTGACTGTATGAGACATGTCTTTGTCAGGACTGGCAGTGGATGATTCAAGTGAGTGCCTTACTGAGTCCCACCCACATTCTCCCACCTGCCTCACTGTGGCCCAGTAATTCAGCCACCAGTTCAGCCACTGCTTATTATTGTTGTTGATATCATTGTAATTATTTCTGAATGGAGGGGAGGAGGAGAAGAATGGGAATAGGGTGGAGATGGCTGATGTCACAGGGGAGAAGAAAAAGAAGGAAAATACCAGCTGGAGGAGAGAAGCATTTAAAAAAAGGAAAACTGAGAAGAAAAGAGAAACAATGAGAGAAAAACTGATAGAAAAGAAACAGATTTGAGTGGTAAGCCCGAGACAGAAATCAGTATGATGTTTTCCTTGGTCCTGATATGACCAGACCTATTCACTCTGGCTGCACACTTGTTCATTTCTGGGCAGCACAAGGAACAAGATACTAGAGATCCCTCTCCTGGTCACTCTTTAGAAACTCCCTAACCTCTAAGAACCTGGAGGCAGCTGAGTCCCTTGCAGAACAGAGTCTGAGGGTGGAAAAGAGTACCTCAATGTGTGGGTGAATTCTTCTGGTAATGACTTGGCCTTATGAAAGTAGTTTAGCTCTGCTGGGCTGAGCCTCATCATCATTAATAACAGGACATCTGTTTATATAGTAAATCTGGTGTTACCAACCAAGTGTTGCCTGGGGCAGAGGCAGGGACGAGAAACAAAGGGAGGAAAAAACAACAAAAAAAAGAGAGCCAGAGAAAACGAAGGCTCAGAGGACAGTGACTTCCAACGTTCAGGTGGCAAGGAGCCTATGGAGAGTTTCTGGATATCGATGGATACAAATGAGGTTTGAAGGAAGTAATATTTCAGTACAAATTTTGTATCAGACGGAGCACTGGATGGCTTTTCTATGTAACCATGTAATCCATCTGATAGTCTTGTGTAGTAGCTGTTATTATCTCCCGTTTACTGAGGCCAGGGAAATAGTTTGCTTGGTATAAGCAAGTTTAAACTGGGACTACGTGACTTGAATCCTAGCACATGTTTTTAACCTCAAAATAATCATAGAAGCTAGGTTATATTTAAAAAGATGTAGCTTGCCTGTGTAGTTAAAAGCAAGTAGTAATGACCTTCTGCCAGAATTACCTCTCTTTTCCAGTGTCCAACTTTGTCTTAAAATCACAATGTATCAATTTATTCTTCAGTCTTATAAAATACTAAGTGATTTTTGTGGTGGGAAGAAAATGGGAAGAAATGGACTTTGAAGTTAGAAATGTGGCTTTGAAGTCTGTTTTCATGGTTATTTATTTATATGACTTAGGAATCTGTTCAACAGGATTAATAATACTATTTTGTATGAAGATGACACAAATTACAGGCAAATACATAGCACCATGCTTTCCACTCTGGCGCACTGAATTATTGTTTTTCTTCCTTTTTCTTAAAAACTTAGGTAGAACTCACTGGTTCCAGAACTTCTCAAGCTATGTTCTGCAGAACATTAGGGGTTTTGAGAGATAACTAAAATTGTCTTCATGGTCAAATATCTGGCATAAAGTAAGTTTCTTTTTCCCCTTATTTCTGCTCCTCTCCCTTATTCCTAACTATCTCATTACACAGGGCACATCATCAATTATAGGTGGACTGCAGAACTAAACATAAAAAACAAAGTAAAATCATTTAGAATGTGGAAAAATACTTATTTGATTTTGGTAGTGAGACATTCTTTAAAAAAGACAAAGCCCCAGAACATAGGAAGGAATTTTTGCTATGTTAAAATTAAAACTTTTATATGACAAAAGACGCAATTGAAAAAACCATATATAATCAATAAAATGTAAGAAAGTATTTCAGTGAATTTGACTGACAATGGAATAGTATCTGAATATATAGTCATTCTTAAAATCAGTAAAAAAAAAGAGAAATTGTACAGTAGAAAACTAAGTAAAGGATAAAAGGTGTGAATTATCAATTCACAAAAGAAGTTACATAGCCAAGTTCAACTTCACTAGTAATTGAGGGAATGCAAACAAATATGGAAATGAGATACTTCACACTGAACAAATTCACAAAAATGGAAAGGAGTGACTATACATATCTTCTAATTGCCAGTTATAGTTTCTTCCACATTATAGTGTTCTAGTCAGCACAGTAACACATCTTAACCTGCAAATACATGATATAATAGCATAAATATTAGAAAGGAATATAAAATTCATCATTTGTAGACAGTTGTGACATATTTACCAAGAAAATCCAAGAGAAACCATTAGAGCTGATAAGATAGTGAGCAAACTGATTGGTTCTAAGATTAAACAATTTTTAAATTCAGCTTTTATATATCTTCCCAAACAAATAATGACTAGGATAGTAATTAATGCTTTGCACTGAGTGTTTTTGATTTTTTCTTACAATGTGATAGGATTTTACTTTGTTGGCTCCACAAAATCAGGCTTGATCAGGTGACTTACTACAAGTTGAACATCCCTTATCTGAAAATGCTAGATCTGAAATGCTCTAAATTATGAAAATTTTGAGCACTAACATGGTGGTACAACTGGGAAATACCATACTGTGAAGCTTGTTTCATACACAAAGTTATTAAAAATATCTTTAGTCTTTCTATATTATCTTTGATCTTTCTATAGAAGATGTATATGAAACATAAATGAATTTTGTGTTTAGGCTTGAGTTCCATACCCAATGTATCTTCTTATGTGTATGCAAATATTCCAAGATCCAAAAACATCCCCAGCATTACAGGTAGGAATACTCACATGTATGAACAAGGAAGTCTAGGCAGAAGTGATGCCTGTCAGTTTCACATGGAAGCTTCAGGATCCAGCTCAAGATTTGCTGCACTTTTTTTCTTTGTTTCTCAGAAAAAGAAATGTCAATCTTCCGTGTGGCAATCTTCCACATGACAAATTGGTAGAGTGGCCCTTTTCTGGAGGATATGGCAATCTTCCAGATAAAGACTGGTTGCTCTTGCAGGTTAGGCCCCAGAGTAATGACAAAATGGAGGAATACCTTGCCTGATACATGGTGGACATGGATCATAAGGAAGAAATAAACTTTGTTGGTTTTGGTGACTGAGATTTTTAGAGTTACTTATTAATGTAGCATCCTGATTTAGTCCATCCTAAATGATACAAGTAACATTTGTTAATCATTGATCAAGTACCAGGTCCTATTCTTTTTTTTTTTTTCCATTAAGTTCATTGGTACATTTTAGGTATACAATACAGTTACATTCATCATTGGGATCTTGTACTTTTACATGAGTATCTTGGTTCTTGTTTTTCTCCCCCTTGCCCGGCCCTCCCTTCACCCCCTCCTCCCTTTCCTATTTGCAAAGACGTTGTTTCCATTTTTTTTCCTTTTCTCATATTTTTTCTTTTCCCTTCTTTCCTTTCCCCTACCCCTCCCACTTCCCCTACTCCTTT